CTAATACAAATAATTTTATGGTACAATATAAATTGATTAATATAAATCTAAAATATAATTTATATATTTTAAAAATATTATTTATTTAATTTTTAAATATAATTTATATATTTAAAAATTATTTATATACATAATTTATTCTAAATTTTAATTATATATAATAAATATTTAATTTATGCATTACAAATTTACACTAACTAAAATATTAGTAAAGCTTAAATATGATATCTATATTTTAACCTTTTAGCACATACTAAATAGAGATTTATGTCTTGTTTAATTAATTTGTTCATTTAATTTCTCTCTTAATTTTTTAAAAAATAATATGATGTCAATCTTTTTGTTTGATGAGATGAGACTAACAATTTTTTTATATGACTGATACGTACTATTTTTTTAATTTATCACAGAAAAAATAATTATTATTATTATTAGTCTCGTTCAAGAATATATGTGTATAAATTGAATCTTTTAATGATAGAAGGATCAAGTTAAACATTAAATAAAATGATAGACAAAAACTAATTTAGTTTAATTAAAAATATTTGGTTCATTCTTATATATATCATTTTTATATTTTTTATTTTTTTGATAATTTCATAAATTTTATATTTTAATCTTTATAATAATAGAAAAATAAAAATGATATGTATAAATCTATAATAAGTTTATAAATCTTGTTTTTATAGAAAATAAAGATCGTATACCAAATATCTAATACATTTATAATAATTATTTTAAGTTGTCCAACAAGTTCATCGAAATCGGAGCTCAAATCTAAGAAAAACAATTATAAAGGCAAGAATAACTTATTATTAATTGAAAATATAATTTTCTTTATACTGGCAATGCATAAAATTAAACTTAAAATTAAAATATGATAGGTGTTAAAGGTTGATCTAAAACTGAGGAATCATTTAATATTAGACAACTTAATTTATGTAATATATTGTTAAATATTATTTTCATGATAATAATTAAAGAAATATAAATGAAAAATTATTAAGAAGAGACATTTAATTTTATTTGTAGATTTAATAGTAATTTTCATGTTTTTATTGATTATTTAAACAATGCCAATAATTGGTAAAAAATTATATAGAAACTTTTTTTTATTAATTATTACCTATTGGTGTACGTCAATATATGTAAATATTTTTTTATTATTAGTTTGTTAGGTTGTTAGAATATTTGTTGAACTGTACAGTTGTACCTTCCTTATATAAGGAATGTTTGTATATCATTTGTGATATTGAATAATACAGAATCGTTTCTGTTTTCCTTTTCTTCAATATGGTATCTAGAGCAAACGATCCTATCTCCCTTTAATTTTTTTTCCACATATCCTCGTCCTCCTCTTACCGGCTTTCATGGCGCTTTCCACTGTTTCTCATTCTCAATCCTTTTCAACTCTGTCACTGAACGTCTCGATCATTCCAATTATCTTCATTGGAAACAACAGGTTGAACCGGTCATCAAGTCCCACAACCTTCGGCGGTTTGTGGTCAGTCCGTAGATTCCTCCGCGATACCTCACCGACGATGATCGTGCATGTGATCGCATAAATCCTGAGTTCAAGGCGAGGGAGACTCAAGATCAAATGCTTCTGACATGGCTTCAATCAACATTGTCGAAATCCGTTCTGTCTCGTGTTCTTGGCGCAACCCACTCCTACGAGGTGTGGGAGACGATTCATGAGTATTTTCAAATGCAAACTAAGGTTCGTGCGCGTCAACTTCGCACTGACCTTCGTTCGATTCAATTAGAAGGTAAAACCATGCGTGAGTACCTTTTGCAAATCAAGAGCATCACTGATGAACTCGCTGGTGTTGGCTCTCCAGTAAAGCATGAGGAATATGTTGATGCCATTCTCGTTAATCTTCTGCAAGAATATGCACCAGTTGTTGCTGTTATTGAAGGTAATTTCACAACACCTCCGGTCAATGAAATTGAAGCTCAACTTCTTTCCTTTGAGCCTCGCAGCAATCGTTTTCGACAACAGTCTATTCCAGTGGTTAATTATGCGTCGCATGATGGTTCTGGTTCTCGAGGTCGCTCATTTGGAGGTCGTGGTGCTTATGGAAGTGCTTATGGAGCCTCTGCTATTAATCGTGGTGGTCCTCGTGGGGGTACTTCTGGTCGTGGTCGTGGTGGCCGTTTTGCCAATTTCCAATGCCAAATCTGTTTAAAATTTGGTCATACTGCTAATGTTTGTCATTTTCGTGCTAATGCATCCTATCAACCTCCAGATTCTATGGTGTTATATGAGCCTACCACACAGGAACCTGTTAAGTTGAAAAGTTCACACAGCAACCTGTTAACTTCAAAAGTTCCAACACCTGGACCAATCCTAATCTCAAATCTAGTACTCCTACTGATGCTCCTTCTCAAGGAGTTTCTGCTGAAGCTAACACAACTTGGATTCCAGACTCAGGGGCCTCAAATCATGTTACTGATACAGCTCAAAACATCACTCAGTTTTCTCACTTTGATGGTCCGGATCAGATTTACATTGGTAATGGTCAAGGTTTGCAAATTAAGGGTTCTGGTTCTTCATATTTCATCTCTCCCTTTAATTCTCAAGTTTCTTTTAAACTTAATCATTTACTTCATGTTCCTGCCATTGCTAAAAATTTGTTGAGTGTGAGTCAATTTGCTAAAGACAATTCAGTCTACTTTGAGTTTCATCCTCACTTGTGTCTTGTCAAATCTCAGGCGACTCATGAAATTTTACTTCAAGGTGCTGTTGGTTCCAATGGTCTCTATTCCTTTCCCAATCTCAGGCTGCACAATCCTTCTGTTTCTACTGCTTACTCATGCAAGAATAAAGCTCATGTACAACCTGTCCCTGTACATTCCTTAGCTACTGCCAATTCTGTTGATGTTTCAGCTCCAGCTGTTTTAACTTCTAGTTCTAGCAATCTTTGGCACACTAGGCTTGGTCATCCTAATTTACATGTATTGAAGCTTGTTCTCAATCAATGTAAACTTGGTTCAGTAAATAAAAATACCCTTGACTTCTGTAATTCATGTGTTATTGGCAAATCTCATCGTTTACCTTCTCTTATTTCTGATTCTGTTTACACTACTCCATTGGAATTGATTTACACAGATTTATGGGGTCTTTCTCATGTGATTAGCTTTTCTGGTTATAACTATTACATTGCTTTTGTTGATGCCTTTTCCAAATATACTTGGATTTATCCCTTAAAAGTCAAATTTGAGGCTCTCCTAGTGTTTAAACATTTCAAATCCATGGTTGAACTTCAACTTAATTATAAAATAAAAAGTGTGCAGTCTGATTGGGGAGGTGAATTTAAACCTTTCACATCTTTTTTAGCTTCGCATGGCATTACTCATAGACTTATATGTCCTCACACTCATCATCAAAATGGAACTGTTGAGAGAAAGCATCGTCATATTCTTGACAGTGGCCTTACTTTACTGCATCATGCTTCTTTACCATTAAAATTTTGGGACTTTGCCTTTATGACTGTTGTTTACCTATTTAATAGGTTGCCTAGTGCTGCACTCAATTTTTCTGTTCCTTATACAGTTTTGTTCAAAACCCCTCCTGATTATGATTTTTTAAATTCATTTGGTTGTGCCTGTTTTCCTCTCTTAAGACCTTATAATACTCATAAACTTGACTATTGATCCCAAGAATGTCTGTTTCTCGGTTATTCTCATGCTCATAAGGGTTATAAGTGTCTTTCTGCTACTGGTAGAATTTATATCTCCAAAGATGTTATTTTTAATGAACAAAGATTCGCTTATGCTCATTTGTTCCCTCAGTGTCATGTTTCCTCCTCCACTTTACCTCAATATTTTACTCTCCAACCTAACTTGTCACCTTCTCCTTCTCTAATTTCTTCCTCTCCTACATCTATTCCTTCCTCTACATCTCATTCATCTTATCCTACATTTACAGAGTCTGCCTCCTCCTCTTCCCCTTGTGCTCTTGTCCCTTGTGCAAACACTGATTCTACCACTCAAGGTTCTGATTCTCCTAATTTTCCTGCTGCATCATTTTCTGGTTCTATTTCCAACAGTTCATAACCGAATATTCCAAGAACCATCAATAATCACCCTATGCAAACTCGCTCAAAGTCTAGAATACACAAACCTAAACTCCATTCTTCTATATTTCTGGTGCATTGTGAGCCTAAAACAGTCAAACTTGCTCTTGCTGATCCTCTATTGTTTGCTGCTATGCAACAAGAATGCACTGCTTT